GATAGAATGCTGTAAAGAACCCCTCTTTGTGTTCAAAGCAGGTTCCCTCTCTGTGTTCTAAGCAGGTTCCCTCTCTGTGTTCTAAGCAGGTTCCCTCTCTGTGTTCTAAGCAGGTTCAAGTTTGTGTTTGTCTCAGAGGGATGATGGTGATCTCTCAGCTCTTCATCTTGTCCTCCAGAGGCGACCACCTCATCTACAAAGACTGTATCCTTCTGATCCCAGTAAAGACCAGTAGGTTCTACTAGAAACCAGTAGGCACCAGTAAAGATGGGCTTTTTTACTTTCATTTTCTAGTCGAGTTTCAACCAATTAGCTTTTTCTGCTTAAAGAACCCAGGTTCTCTGCTAAAGGACAGGAACTGTGATCTCTAATTTATTTTATTGTTTTATTTTGCTTTCTATTGTAATCTATTGTTTTCCATTATATTTTGTCCTATTTCATTCTGTTCTATTCTAATGTCTTTTTCTATTTTAAGGTGAACTCTTCTATTTCATCCTATATGATTATATTCCATTTTATTCTATTTCATTCTGTTCTATTCTGTTTTGTTTTGTAGTCTATGTTGATGTGTTCTATTTTATTCTATATGATTATATTCTATTTTACTCTTTTCCATTCTATTGTGCTCTATTCTATGTCTCTATCAGCCAATCAGAATTCAGCTATATGTTTTAAAACTTGACTCTGAGGCGACTCTTAGATCGTGGAGAGGCAGATCGTGATGTCATCGATACTTTCTATGAGAAGGTCACAGCGCTGAAGGGAGACCAGCCTCCGGTTGTCATGGTAACACCCCTACCATCTGGATGGGACATTCCCATCCCTCATCCTAACCCGGTGTTTCTCTGCAGAACCACAAGGATTTGCACTTTGTCCACGTCAAGCAAGGAGGACTCTACTGGGTTGCCACGACGACAGCGGACTCCTCCCCATTCACCATCATCGAGTTCCTCAATCGGTAGGTTTGGTCTCAGCAGACCATCAGAGTCCAGATGTTGAGCCAACATGTGTCCCGTTTCAGACTCGCTGCTCTGGTCAAAGATTTCTGCGGCGGCATCTCAGAGAAGGCCGTCCAGATGAACTTCGCTCTGATCTACGAGCTTCTGGACGAGGTTCTGGTGAGTCCGTCCCTCACGATGTTCTGGGTTCTCAGAGAGCAACATTTATTACCATCTGTCTCTGCTGCAGGACCACGGATACATCCAGACCACGTCCTCCGACATCCTGAAGAACTTCATCCAGACAGAGGCTGTTTCCTCCAGAACCTTCAGCCTGTTTGACCTCAGCAACGTGGGGCTGGTACAGTAGAACCAGATCCAGAACCAGCACAGATTTGATTTGTTCCTGAACCAAAGAGCTCAGGAGAATCAATTCAAAAATGGTCCAACAGTCTGGTTCTGGACTGCTCACGGTTCTTCTCTGTTACAGTTTGGAGCAGAAACTCAGCAGAGCAAAGTTGCTCCAGGTTCTGCTGCCACCAGACCCATCCAGTCTAGCAGAGAGCAGGTAAGCTCCGCCCTCACCGGTTCTGAACCAGGTCCATCTGGACTGTGTCCTCCTGAGCTGAACTCCCAGGTTCTGTTGATGAGGCGGTTCCTTTGTCGTTCTCCAGGGAGGGAAGAGCGAGATCTTTGTGGACGTGATCGAGAGGATGTCCGTAGTCATTGGATCAAACGTGAGTCCAGTCAGAATGTTCTGGGTCGGGTCCACTGTCCTGATTGGGCCCATCAGAGCTGTTTGTGTTCCGACCCACAGGGGGTTCTGATGAAGGCTGACGTGGAAGGAGAGATCCGGGTCAAGTGCTACATGCCAAACTGCTCCGGTGAGTTCCTCCGCAGTGAGTGATGGTGGAACCCTTAGAACCAAAACCTGAGAGACGGTGCAACCCTTAGAACCAGAGAGACGGTGGAACCCTTAGAACCTTAGAACCAGAGAGACGGTG